GTATATACAGGGATCAGTAGATTTTTAAAAGTCCCACGATCATAGACGGTATGTAGTCTACATTCCAATATACAGCTTCGTTATTTCTTCAGCCGCGATCAGCAAGGTGTGCTACTGTAGCATTTTACGAATGACTCTAAAAAATTCTTCCTTATAGTGTATTTGATTTAACAGAAGTAAATTTGCGACACGATTTCATCTTAACAACAATGACCACATATAAGGTCACTGAAGTTACATAGCAAGAATAAAATAAGGGCAACGAAACAAAAAAGAACAAATAATAACATTTTTAAAAATATAGCTTCCTCTTTCTATATAATGATTTGATGTTTCTGCCTTGTAGAAAGGTTCCATTACACTGTAATAAATGTATCGTCATGATTAATAAAGCCAGGGGTGGATTTTGAAACTTCTTCATATAACCGTCTTTGCTGATCAATACATAAATAAATGTATAATGAAGAGTAATTCATCTTCGATTTCCTACTTATCACATAGGTTTTGCTTTTGTGCGTTTACCTGTTGAAATTTTCAATGAATGGATGCTTAATCTAAATCTGCTTGATTGATCACGTTCATCTTTTCTTTATCTCATTATTCATCGGTTTCCCAATATATCGTGAGCTATTCTCTAAATTTGTATTTATTTCTTTTATCTGTTCACCTGTAAAAGCACAAGTAAAAGAATCAACTGCATTGTACCATTTGGTGTTAATCCGCAGCATGCCTTAGGAGTGAGTTATTAATAATGAATATGCGGTTATAATATTTATTTGGCTGTCTTTAATAAAGATAGCTAGTTGAAATCGGCCTAGCCCCCGATAGATACCCATTATGGGTGTAATTTTAGAAACTTGAAAGAACCGATAATAGTTTAGGTGCATCTCTTCTACAGCTGTCTTATAGGCATTATCCCATATTTCACAACCATGTCATAAAATTGGGCGAATGAATTTTTCAAACCGAGAAAGAAAAGTTGTAATTTCTATATTTTGCTTATAACCAATTTTCTCTTTTGTAGTTTTGGGCCTTTTTTCTTCACGTTTGTCGTGTCCTTTTTAATTGTTTTTGGTAAGAGTTCTTTGGGCCCCTCACCCATAACTCTAATCCTAACCCTGCCCTCCAGTACCCCTTCTGCATTTCTATTGTATATACCCCTTATTGAGTCACTTGGGTGGCTGGAGTGTTAAGGTTAGGGTTTAAGAGTGAGGAAGCTATAAAGTATTTTTTCCTTTTTTTATTTATGCTCAATACCACATCTAGATATTAGAAATATCTAACAAGAGATAAATTCAAATAATGTCATATTTTTGTGTGTTTTGTGTGTGTGTGTGTGTGTGTTCACTGAGAGCTTTACCTGTTTTGTTTATTTTGTGAGATAGTCCCAACTGCTTTAAAAGCTGGATTTTGTTTCCGGGAGAATAACAAGGGCATCAGCATATATGAGATAACTGGCCTAATTGTGGGACATGCAATAGACAGCATCATTGTAGCTCCATTCGCGATCAGCACGGTGTGCTACTGTAGCATTTTACAAATGACTCAAATTCATTTTGTTTTTCAGTTTGATCGTTATTAATGTGTATTTGATATTTAGTAGTCTATTTAACAGAAATAAATATTGTATACGATTGTAAACGCTCGGACAACAACGGCAGCTTCAGTAATGGTCGGCGCAAATCATACATACAGCACCCCCAGCGTCATAACAGAGTAACGAAAATATCCATGCATTTTTATTTCTCGCTTTTTGATTTTCCGCGGATTACGTTTTCACAAAGGTCCGGAAATTCTGCCTAGGTCGCATATATAAACATTTGTTACGATTTCTAGGTTTCTAGGTTATGGGGAAAAGTTGAATTATATGGTTGTATTGGTAAATTAGAATATTGTTTTTGTCCGATTATTCACATGTGTTATATTGCGATTAAGACAAAGCTATTATCTAGTATTATGTTCATGTTGTGGAGTTAATTCAGTTTTGACTAATGTTACGTACTTGCTGATTTAACAAGGTACAATATTGTCAAGTAGTTTAAAACTTAAGCTGTGTGAAAGTGTTCTCTGCCATCTGTACTTATCCATTTAATTTTTAGGTTGTAATAAAATGTCTCTTCATAATGTTATTATTATTATTTATATTTATTCACTGTACCTGTGAATGGCCTCGATATTAACCAGTTAAATACAAAAGAATAACTATAAACATGTAAACATATAGAAATAAAATAAATGTATGGAAAAATGTGCCAATATTGCACCAACATTGGAGGTGGGGAATAAAACTTATTCAAATGGTTTTGATAGTTCTACTGTAAACATTCAGCTTTTCTGTTCTAACTAAAGTATTCAATTTTATTTGAATATCATATCATATCATATCATTCAGCTTTTCTGTTTTAACTAAAGTATTCAATTTTATTTGAATAACATATCAATGTTAATGTGCAATACAGAATTTATTGTAGGTATGTAGTGTACATGTGATTGACGTAACTGTGTATGTAATCTTATAACTTATGGCGTGATGTGATAAAATGTGATTACCATCAATGATTGTATGGATCCGTGCCCCCTTACACCCGTCTCTATTTGCGCTAAACGACAAGTAAATAAACGTATCAACCGAAAACAGAGAAATTAACAATGATTTGTACTGAATGTATACTATGCAAATTAGAATTCAAAAATACCTTATGAAATGAAGTTTAATGACAATAATTCTCATACATCAGTCGCGATCACAAGGTGTGCCACTGTAGCATTTTACGAATGACTCTAAAAAATTCGGATGGATACTCAGTATGATCGTTCTTAAAGTGTATTTGATTTAACAGAAGTGAATTATCGACGCGATTTCATCTTCACTACAATGACCACATACACAAAAAATATTCATACAACCGTCTTTGCTGATTATACATATGTATTAAGTGTAGGTAAGCCTAATTCTTTGGGCACTTGAGCAATAATTGATGTAGGTTGTAACAGTAGTATACGTTCACGAAGATTGTTTTAGGGAATGATATCAACAATTGTTAGAACAATGTATAATCTTGCATGCTGTCCGATGTATTTGATAGAGTGGGTATATATGTCTCAATTGATTGACGGTGTATTCAAATTGACAGTCTGGACAGCTGCGTCACAATGATTTTATCAACGATTTGTCTGTGTCATGATTAATACAAACGTCTTTTGTATTGTTATTACCTAGTCATTCAGAGTACATGTGATTGATGTGACTGTGTGTGTACGGAGCACGCTTGCAACTTATGACATGATTTGATATGATGTGATTACCATCAATGTTTGTATCCAATCAGAGTTCTTTACATTGATAGTTATAGCGGGCGATCATAAACCCCTTTTGTATTTTTTTTTATAAAATGCGTTGAGAGGCATCAATCCAAAAAGAAATATATAAAAATATGTGTACAGGGGGAGATAAATTGAACGGTAGGTGCATTTGTTACGGTGACAATTAAGTTATTTAACATTCTAACTAGTTGTCAGATTGCCTAATACATTGATTTATACGGCACACTGGTTGTATCAATGATAATTCCCAACATTGACATGTAATCGGATTAGGGTTAGGTTAGGGTTAGGTGTGCGTCAGATAAGAGGCTAGGACATTGACATAGATTATGTATGAAAATGTATACGATTTACGCAATGATGAGAAGTGTGAAACTCTCAATAATAAGTTATTATGAGTTCGGGTCAAATAAAGCAAGCCTGTGTGATTTTGTATTATATTGGACATAATTTATAATACATTGCTTTCTTTAATCAAGATGTAAAATAAAACACACGTTAGCATACGTTATCTGGGGGTAGATAAGGACAAAGCATTCCTTTCATTTACTATCTTTTAATTTTATCACGACTGTTTTTCGTGATACTTGTACGAAAATAATGTTTTAAACATAAATAGTGTAATGAAAAGAATTTTAGCTGATTTAGATATCATAATTGAGTTATGTCCAGCTGACCAGATTTCGCTGAAATTCATATTTTATCAAAATTGAAATGCGACATCAGTGTGGTTAGTAATTGTTATGACGAATATCTTGATTAGCATAAATACAGTTTATTTTGGTTCATTTTTAAGAAGCGAAACCTGATAAAATTAGAAAGTTGGATATCAAATATTATATATAAACACGTTTGTAAACACCATATTCAGGCAAGCGATTATTAACCCTTAACTGGCATGAAACGCTGAACTGACCCCTATATGTATATTAGTCTTGTTAATCTGGTTTATTTAAACTCAAATTAACTTCAATACTAATTAATACCAGTCAATATAAATACCAGTAATGACTAACTTCACACCCTGTTAAACTGTTGTCAATATCACTAAAGACAAGAATTGTTCTTGACTGGTAGAAAACCGGAATCTGGGCTTAGTTATTGAAGTGTTTTGACCACAGGATTTAAGTGTAAATAAGTAATAATATTGAAGATATTTGTTCCTGGAATGTTCTCAAGCAGGACAACTTGTAACTGAAAATAAAATCCAGCATTAAATTCTGAATTGCAAATAGAGCATAGTCTTAAATTCTAATCTGTTAATTCTTGCATGTCTAACCTTTTCTGTTGCCAAATGTGTAGTTTGAATATCCCAAACAGGCGTAAGCCCGCATCCGGGTGTATGCACTATTCTGAAATATCTGAAACAGATATTCTAACATTGGCGCAGTTAAATAACATTAATTATTAAAATATAAAATATATGTGACTATAGCTGAAACAAAAATTCAAGAATATGCAGGAAAAAGGCACAAACAAAAGACAATATTTGGTTCAGTTCCAGTATCAGTCACACACGCTTATTTATATTGGTGACACTATGGTAACTTATTTAACATATATTTAAAAACGTAGTATTTTCAAAGAAACCACATTCTGAATTCAAGCAGTCTAACAATAATAAAATAAATCAAATGTTCAATACAATCAGTCTGCCTTCACTTCTCTTTTTATAGACTGGCATCACGGCCGCTTTCCTAAAGTAGAAGTTGAAGTGCCTCCGAGCAAAGGTATGGAGATATCATACACCAATCCTCTTATTTGGAATCACCCTTGGTATTCGGGATTCATTACTGTCACTTTAATTGGAATCTGTGTCCACTTATGTAATTATTCATAGCATCGTGTCCTTTTTAAATACTGTCACTTCTTGTGCTCTGTTCTCCTTTTATCAATATCTCATTTGAAATATCATATTAACGTATTATGTCTATATTGAAATACCATGGTTTCTGCAAATGGGTCATGGAAAGCAATGGAAACATGTGTTCTGAATAAACTGTGCACCATTTGTCTGCAAGAACATAGATTAGTTGTTTGAATGTGTTGTCTATCTTTGAAAGTCAAACGTTATTGGCACACAACAGAAACTTGACCTTGACATCGGTAATTGATTACAATAATGACAACAATAATTGCCTATCAGTCTTGAATACAACTAGTGTCAGTGAGCACATAGGTGATTCAAGTCAACAGCTGACAAA